ATATACATGTAACTATTTTAAATTATTAATAAAGATATAAGCAAGGCCTCACCTTAATACCAAAAAAAAAAAAATAAAAGTTGTAAAGAAGATTAGGTTTGTATATTTGAAGTTTGCTTTAGTTGTAAAGAGAATTAGTCTTTAAGTTAGTTTTGTTTGTAATTTATATACAATAAATGCTTATATTTTTTCTTTAGATCTATATACTTCAATTATATTATTGTATTTTTATTCTTTATAGTTAAATAGTATAATAACTTTGGCCTCTAAGCTATTATTTATTTATTGTATTCTTGTTTTTGTATAGTCAATTTTTATTTCTATTATATTACTTATATTTGTATCTCTTTAAACATTGTAAGAAGTATTTGTTTGTTCTATTTATATATTTATTTAGTTTTTTTGTTCTAATTCTGTAACTTGATTGCTATTTGTTATTGTCTTATAAGAGTTTTGTATTATAATAGATATGAGTTTTGTGTTATGTCACTTCTTTTTTTATTTGATATCTAATTTTACAATATAATTATTTGATTTCTTTTTATAACAATATAAGATTGTGTGTTGTATATAATAATTACTGTATTATTATTTTTTCTATAATGTTTATTAAATTATTGTTGTTTTTAGTTTGTATTGTATTATTGTTTTGTTAGCTTATCTGTGATAATGTTATTGCTTGTTTTGTAAGAGGTATGCTTATTTTTGTTACTAATTAAAATTTAAAAAGAAACAGTTTGTCTTTTTTTGTTGCAAGCATCTTTATAAATAATATTTAAATTAATGCAGTATTGTTGTTGTCTGGTTATACATTTATAATTATTGCTTATTATGCCTAGTATTTTAATCTTGTAACTAAATATTATTATTAATTTTGTTAACTTTATAGTTTGTCTTCTTTGTTGACAGTATTGAATTTTTTTTTTTTTACTTTTGTCTTGTATCTTTGAAACAGTTGTATTCTTGTTTTGTATATTATATAAATAGTTTTCTTGCCTAAAGTAAGCTTTATATTTAGGTTTTCTTTTATAGTATTTATTGTTTTGTTTATTTTTTTATTTTTTATTTTTGCCAATTTTTATGTTTTAAAATCTGCAAGTCAAAGTTTTTTTTAAAAAAATTTATTCTATATATAAAAAATATATATAGATTAATAATCCTAAACATATTTATAAATTGACTTAAAAGTTCAATATTAAACCTGAACTAATTTTTTAAAAAATTTCAGTTCAGTTCAGTTTATAGAAATACTATCCAGAAAGCATGCCCTGAGATACCGTATCTCCAAACTATGCTACAGATCCTGTTGCCGTGTAATACATATGATACTAGTGATATAGTAAGAAGGCTATATAACTTGTAACAACATGAGGTCTTTGCTTTGAAAATCAAGTTATAAGACATAGTAAATTATATGTCTGATAACTTGATTTTTGAGGTAAAATCCAGTTTGTTAATTAACCAATTACGACAGTGCTTGATATCAGCATCCGTCGAACTTGATTGGTCATGAAGAATATCCGTGTAACGGTACACTTATCTCTTGTCTATAATTAACGTTAAATCTGATTCTAATTCCAACAAGCACGATGCCAGAAGCGATAGGAAAACTTCAACTTAAAAGCAGGTATAATAATATAAGTTGACTTATGTTTGACCAAATTTGCTAACGTTTTATATAATCATTTTTGAAGCTTTAAGGCGACACAAACCATCAAACCTCTTTATACGGGTGGGAAAGTAGCTATATCACCGGATGAAAATCTCTTGATAACTACTATTGGTGATAGTATCGAAGTAACTGATCTTCAAAATGGAAAGAAAGTACTTCATTTGAGTGGTGTATGATTAGGAATTATTTTTTGTAGAATGTTGATATAAATCAGATATTTTGTGTAGTAATTTTTTTAAGCCTGTTATAGGATAGTGAATTGATTACTACTTTTGCGATAACACCTGATGGTAATTACATCGTAACTTCAAGTCGAAGTTTAGTTGTAAAAATATGGGATTTTAAAACAGGACAGATAAAAAAATCTTTTAAAGTAAAATATTTTCTTTTGAATTCGCTTCTTTGCAAATGAAAATGTTTATTTTCTAATCTTTTTTCTAATTTAAATCATCAGGCACATGAAGCTCCAATAATAGTAATGGATATAGATCCTACTTCTTCTTTAGTCGCTACAGGATCTGCTGACAGTACAGTTAAAGTTTGGGATATTGAAGGTGGTTTTTGTACACACAACTTTCGAGGTCATGGGGGCATAATTAGTGCACTCAAATTTCATTTGGAAAATAATCGATGGACGTTGGTTTCGGGAGCGGATGATTGTAACATACGTATATGGGATTTACAGGAGCGAAAGTAGGTTAAATTATGACAATTAGCTAAATTAATTATAGGTGCTTAATTCTGATAAACACTCTAGGTGTATTGCTGTATTAAAGAGCCATGTTAGTGTGATTCGTGGATTAGATATGTCGAATGATGGTCGGTTTCTTATTAGTGGTTCTCGTGACAAGGTTGTAAATGTATGGGACTTTGATAAAAAGATATTATTGAAAACTTTTCCAATCTTTGAGGTATATTTTTTAATTATTTTCCAAACAATATTATGTAATTAAAGAAAGTAGCATAATGTTATTTTAATTTAGACAATCGAAACATTAGGGGTTTTGCAACTCCACACAACGATAAAAAATATGGAAGAGGATTTTGAGTTATTTTATACTGGTGGTGATAAGGGTTTGTCAATAGTTATTTTTCCATTGTTGTCATTTTCTGGCTGAAATTAGAATATGAATATTTATAATTCATGTAAATATACATATTATATTGTAGGAATCATTAGAATATGGGACATTAAAACTGGTAAACTTATCCAGACTCAAGAACCAGAAAAGAATACCAAACACGTAATATCTGATATTATGTTCGTAATATTTTGATTTTTTTGGCTCTTCAAATTTTATATTATATTTACAATTAATTCAATTTATTTAATATGCTCCAACTTGGTAGTTATCTCCGTAAAAGTAATATTTTGACTGCTATCACCAGTAATCAAAGTATATTATTTTACCAAATTACCTCTGGTCTTAAGCGTGTGAAGCAAATTGTTGGGTACAATGAAGAGGTTATTGATCTTACATATGTTGGAAAAGATGAAACACACCTTGCTATTGCTACCAATACAGAGCAAATAAATTTATATAATATTAAGTCTTTTGATTTTAATATTATATATGGCCATATCGATATTGTTATTTGCCTTGATAAATCATATGATGGAACTGTATTGATATCCGGTTCTAAAGATAATACAGCAAGAATATGGAGTATCGATGTGGATAACGAAAATTCTGATGATAGCCAAGTCAATTGTTTAGGTGTATGTATAGGTCATACTGCAGCAATTGGAACTGTAGCTTTTTCAAAGAAATCTTTAAAGTTTTGCCTCACTGGTAGTCAGGATCGCACCATAAAATATTGGGACTTATCGCATTTAGGTGAGTACATTAATATTTATTAGAGCTAATCTTTCAAACCTATAATTCATTTAATATTGTCTTTTTTTAAATTTAGATCGGTCTAGATCTGATGAAAATTTTAGACCGAAAGTTCTATATACAAACAAAGCGCATGATAAGGACATTAACTCAATAGCAGTTGCACCAAACGATAAGATTTTTGCCACTGGTTCACAAGATAAGAGTGTCAAGATATGGTCTGTTAATGATGGGAAATTACTTGGCACTTGTTCTGGACACAAACGCGGTGTCTGGTCTGTCCAGTTTTCACCAGTTGATCAAACTATAGTAACAAGCTCTGGAGATAAAACCATCAAAATTTGGTCAACAACAAACTTTTCTTGCTTAAAGGTATAATCCCGGATTAATTAATGATATCTTATTTATTTTTTATACTTATTGTTGAATTATTTGTTAGACCTTCGAAGGACATACCAATACTGTCCTGAAAGCTTCATTTCTGACATATGGAACTCAACTAATATCTTGTGGTTCAGACGGTCTTCTTAAACTTTGGACAATTAAGTCCAATGAATGTATTACTACATTGGACAATCATACAGAAAAAATATGGGCATTGACAGTACGCAAGGATGAAAATGTTGTCGCATCAGGTGGCGCTGATTCTTTGATAAATTTATGGGAGGATTGCACCGTTGAAGAAATGGAAAAACGTGTTAGAGAAGAAGAGGAGCAAATTTTAAAGTAACTAATGCAATCAAATAATTTACTTTATTTCATCATTGGTGAATATTACTTACTTTCGGAATTATTTTTATGGCATTTTAGAGAACAGAATTTGGCAAATTATTTGTTGAAGAAGGACTATCAAAATGCAATTACTCTTGCCATGTCTTTGAATCAACCGTTTAGACTACTGAATCTTTTTACTGAAATACTAGACAACCGAGCTGAAGGTGATCAATCAATTTTTTTTTTCAAATACAATTATTTATTATTTTATAATTTTATTATTTTATACTTAAGTTTAATTTATTTGTAGGAGATATTAGTATCACAGGATCTGAATCTATTGATAAAATTATTGCTACCCTTTCCAAAGAAGATATTGAAAAGATGCTTCAATACATCCGTGATTGGAATACTAATGCCAAACATTTTCGAACAGCACAAACGATGTTACATGCTATTTTGAAAACATATTCATCTAATGAATTATTAGAAATTAATGGCATAAAAGAGGTAGGTTTACTTACTATCAGATTATCGTTTATGTACAGTAAGTTGATTTTATTATGTATATTGATGGAACATTTTATCATTACAATCTAGTTACTAGATGGTTTATTACCTTATACAGAAAGACACTATCAACGGTTGGATCGAATGATTACTGATTCATTTCTTGTTGATTATACATTACATTCAATGAATTAGTAATACTTGGATTTAGACATTTCTTTAATCCAGATTCATAAAGATATTATTCTTTTACGCAGTTCTAATTAGAGATGGGAAAATCATGAATTTTTCAAAACTACTGCACAGCCTATCTGCAGCTAGTTTTTCATACTATGGTAAATTTTCAATTTAATCTGTTATTTTATACAAACAAGTTATGTAATGATCTGTATTATATAATTTTAAGAAGAATTTGCAGATAAGGGCCCCAAAATGAAAATAATTACTAATAAAAACCCAAAATAAAAACAATTACACTTAAAAAATCTATTATTTAGTTTCATTTTGATAATTTGAATATAATTATTAATTGTTAATGCATAAGCACAATAAAAAAGATACATTCAATTCAACAATTCATTATTCATATTATAAATTTATTTTACTGAAATTCTTATATATTTTTTAAAACCAGTTATAAATGTTAGATACAAAGTTACAGATCAGTATAATTTTTACAAACTTGAAAAATGTTCATTTGATCTTGGACAGTTATTTTGTTGAATTAAGTTAAGAATGAACAAACTAAGCTGTTAATTGTTTGTTTTACAAATGAAACCAGTTCATATTCTTTTATTAAGTGTAAAGCTAATTACATTTATAGAATAAGAAATTTCTTATAATCCAACTTAACAACCTTTATGGATATATTCAAAACATGAAATATAGCAATACTTTAATCTTGCAATATTGCAAATCATATTCATTCTAAAAGAAAAGATCAAAACATCATATATAATAGCTTGAAATAAATACATTAGATTATACAAACCTAATTTTTTATTTTGCAGTATCATATAATATAATTATTTAAAAATAAAATTTTAGGATAATTATCTTATAAAAATTTCTATATAATATATTTATTTCTTATATTTATAATTGTATTTATTAGCTTATAGTCTTATTTAAATAACATTTAATTTTGTTAATTTTATAAATATAAAATACCAAAATTTTATAAATCATAAAAAATCTTACTAGTATTCTAAATATTTTTAGAATAAAATTAAAAACATATATAATTTTTAACCAGATTTTGCTAATTTTATAATATAATTTTTATATTAAATTTAAATTCAATAGATTTTGCTAATTTTAGTTTATATATTTTTGTTTATTTTTAATTTTTAATTTTTTTTATTTTTTAATTTTTTATTATTTTTATATTTTTATTTATTTTAATTTTTTTGATTATTTTTTATTTTTAATTTTTTTTAATTTTTTAATTTTTTATTGTTTTTTTATTTTTATTTATTTTATTTTTTTTTATAATTCTAAATTTAAAATTTTAATAATAAATAATTTTGTTATTTAATTATTTAAAATTTTTATTAAAACTTTAAATTTTATTAAGTTTATTTAATTCTAATTCTATATCTTCATTTTTATTTAATAAATTTAATTTATTATCTTCATTTAATAAATTCAATTTATTATCTTTATTTAATAAATCCAATTCATTATCTTCATTTAATAAATATAATTTATTATTCTCATCTAATAAATTTAATTTATCTTCATTTAAAGTAAATAAATTTTTTCAAAAATTATCATCTAAATTAGACTTATTATTTTTTATATAATTTAATTTTTTTTGGTTAATGGATTTTAAATTTTTTAGTCAATAATTACTATAAATATAAACTAATTAAAATATTTTTAGAGATTTAAGTCTGTTTCTACTTTTTGAATATATATAAGCAAATATAGACCAATTACATTCAGATGAAGCAGATAATGTAAGAATAGTTAAAATTTTTTTAACAAATTGTATAAGTTCTAGAGTAGAATTTTTAAAATTTTCAGTTCACCATATTAATTGATCAGTAGTATATACAGTTTTCCAAACTAAACTATTATTAAAAGGACTAGTTTTTGCTAAATATTCTAATAATTGACTATAAATTTTTGTACTATTTTCAGAATAAAATTTTTTAATAAAATCAGATACTGTTGTTATAATATTATTACTTAAAATTTTGTCTTAAAATTTTGAATCTAATAAATATGCTATTTCTATTACAGGATTATAAATAATATTCCATCTTTCTGTAATAATATCAAGAATTATTTCATAAGCCAACCTTTTATTTAAATCTATAAAAAATAATAAATATAATTAATAAAATATAATACAATTAAATTATTTATTATTGGTCGTCTTATTAAGCATGATACACTAATTTGATACATTTGAATTAAAATGTAATTATACAAAATTTTACATATTAACTTGCAATTAAATAAATATATTTAATATT